GACGCGGAGTCCTGGGGTTCCGGTGCTGCCGCCTCCCCATGTGCTGCCGCCTCCTCACCACTCTCTGACCCCAGTAGCCCTGCCACCTCCGAAGACTTCTCCTACAGTCTTGGCGACCCCCTTTTCTCCTTCCCCAGCCTGCCCAAAGACTTGCTCCGCACAACGCCCTGTTTCATCCCTTACCACTAGGCCCTTTTTGGACACCTTAGCTCTCCCTTCCCCCAGGTAACAGGCAGTTGTAGTAGATGGGGCCCCAGCTGCAGCCTCGGGACTCCCAGTCTAGGCAGAGGGAGGAAGCAGGAGCTTTAAAGGGATGGGGATACCTGAGCCGCTTGTTAGGTCGCTTCACCCTCGCCATGGCTTCCCCTTGGTCTGTTTTCTCCAGCCCTCAGCCCGGGGCCCCTTCTGCTCGCCCCTAGACAGCCTTCCCTTTTGCACTTTCTGAACTCCACAAAACTTCCTTTGTGGCAGGCTCAGAGCTGACCCCAGCCACCACTTCAGTGTGATTTAAAAAGGGACAGATCAGCCCCTGAAGACGAGGTGAAAAGTCAATTTTACAATTTGTAGAACTCTAATGAAGAAAAACGAGCATGAAAATTCGGTTTGAGCCGGCTGACAATACAATGAAAAGGCTTAAAAAGGAGAGACAAGGAGTGGGCTTCATGCATTATGGATCCCGACCCCCACCCTGCAGGCTTGGTCTAGGAAGAACCAGAGACTCTTGCCTCGGTAGCTATTCAGGCACTGGGCTGGAGAGTACTTTAATTTATTCAAGATGCTTCATTCATATGAAAATGTATTTTTGTACATAAAGAATTTATTCTATTATAATGAGCTATCAAAGTTTACATTTTTGTACTGCAGATGTTTCATGTAAATAAAAACTAAGTCACCAAGTTTCTTGCCTAATGTTGGTGTCTCTCTGGGGCCTTTCTTTCCTTCCCCTGGCTGTTCAACCACTAAAGTGAAACACTATCCCCACCCACTTTCAAATCCTCCAGTCAAAAACAATTAAAAAATAAGATACACCTGATTTCCACCAAAAGTCAGATAAAGACAGACTAAGGAGTTTATGATCCATCATTTCCTTTCACCTAATAAACACAAGGGAGATCTTTCAGGCTCCCCATAAACCAATTAAGACTTTTTAGTGGGGAATTAGTCCGGATACTCAGCTACCTGTAGAGGTAGGGGCGGTGGGAGAGCCTTTCTTTTGAGGAACTCCACATCAGCTGGCTCTGTGTTTCAAAGAGAGGGGGATTAAAAAGATCAATACAGTGTGACCACTGGCTAGGAAGTCCCAGTGACAGGTGGGCCTAGCTTGGGCAAGCAGAAGGGCCCACTCTTATATAATAGCCTATTTTGAGGGGGAAATTGACTTGTAAACAATGCCTCCAAATTGTTGTCCATTGAAGCTGGGATCACCCTGGCTGTGAGGTGTGAGATGAATTACGCTGGTGTGGTGTCCCTCGGTGAGGTGTGCAGCTGCCTAAAATTGTGGGCTAGGGTCCTGCACCTCCCCTCCCCCCACACACATGCTGTACCCACAATGGGGGGGGGGAGCAAGCAGTGGGCTCAGTCCTGGCTTGCTCAGCCAGTCCTTGGGTAGGGGGGGCAACAGCCAAAGCTTTCATTTGCTGCCAGAGAGATCAGTTGCCCAAACTCAGTAGGGATTTTTCTGGCTGCAGTATGTTTTTCTGTTGTTCGACAATTAGCAAACAGCACTGGCCAGTATTGGCTTTTGTTTTAAATTTCAGAATGTGGACACTTGCAAAAGATAGTTCTGAAAATGCTGTTGCTGCCTGTTCCCCCAGCGCACAAGTTATCCCACATTAAGACCAAAACTAACCCCACCCTGGGTTGCCCCTTTTCATGAATATAATTATTTAGAGGGAGTAGAAATGAGTATGAAAATAGTATTCTACAGTGTTAGAGAAATCATATCCATTTAGGAAGTGAATAGAAGCAGAGTGCCAGAAGTAAGGCCACGAATAGCATTTTCCCTTGTGGAAGTATTTTCTCTCTTCACACACATGTCCTGATGAGTTGGATCCAGATTCATATACTGGGCCCGCAACAGGCATCACTAAGTCCTGCCCTGGGTAAGGAGCCCCCTTTCAGATAAAAATGCTCCTTTTTGGAAGGTTCTGGAAAGTTGGGTACTTCTCTAACTGCCCTCAGTACAGAGACAAAGAGGCTGACAAGAAGAGCTTCAGAAATTACGAGGATTCGGAACATAGTTGCTTCTGCTAAAAACTCCAAAGAAAAAGTATGTCTCTTGAATGACCCTGCCTGGGGCCCCACTCTATTGTCTGTCTCAGAATTAATTCACTCTACTAGTTTTGCATTTTCCTATAGCAAAAGACACAAATGGTCTGCATCAGATTCTCTGCTCTCCCGTGCATACGATGCCTGGAAGTAACTATCTCCCAACTTTCTAAAGGCTAAGTCCTAACCTATGAGAAGGGCAGATTCCCTATGGAGACTGCTCAACCATGGTGTAGGTACACACGTTTGGGCCAGCGAAAGAGAACATCCCACTATGTTTATCATTGTCCAAAATCCTTGGGGAAAGCAGCAGCAAACAAACACTGCAAACATCCCTGGAGCTCATGGCGGCAGTAGGAGCTTTGTCTCATACAACTGCACACAACCAGCCCTGAAACAGAAAACATTACTAACCCTGGAACTAAAGAAGAGCAAAACATATTCCAAGCTTTGCTGGCAAAATAGGCTAACAATTCAAGGTGCAGAGAGCACCTTCTATCTAAGGAAACATCTTTAACAGCATGGGTTGCTGGGGACTTTCTACCCTTGTCAGTTAATACTGTTCTTCCAAGGAAGTAATATGTATGTGCAGACCTTGGAGTTCCCAAGTAGAAGAAAAGTGATTAAAGATGCTTATTCTCAGCACAGGGGCCTTTCTTCCTGCAGCAAACTCTTGTTCATCCACTAGCATCTGTGAAGGCAGGCTGGGGGTTACTGGAATAATCAATTACAGAGCATAGAACTTCCTGCTGTCAGCCATGTTTCACTTCAACAGAATCTTCACTGAGGAATTATCAGGCACTCAGGAAGGTTTATTTAGCCTGATCTCTCTATTTACTTCTGTCCTGGTTAACATTGTCTTATTTTACACACTGCTTCCAAGTCTTTGGATACCAGGACAGGGAACATTGGGATAGCATAGCAAAATGAAACATTCACTCAGTCTCTCATTTCTTTAATGATCTTTTTCCCCCCATTTACTTCATTGTTTATATATCTTTTTCATTTTCAATTACAGTTGACACACATCATTATATTAGTTTCAGGTATACATACCAGTGACCAAACATTACATAGCTTACTAAGTGATCACCTCAATAAATCCTACCAGCACCTATCCAGCACCATGCCTAGTTATTAGAATACTAGTGGCCCGGTGCAGGAAATTCGTGCACACTAAGAGGAAATTAGAGAAAATATTTTAATATTGCTATTTGCCCTTTCTCTATAATAGTAGTGTCAGAGATGAAAGAAAATTAGTAAAATGTATATGAAAATCTTCCTCCTGTCAGAGTCTGGGGCACGCTGAGGGACCCAGAGTCAAGTCCCTGCCCACCTGCATGCACCTCAAAATCACACAAGACCCAGACCTGGCTGGCCCCACCCCCGTAAAACCCTGCTGGGCGGGGGTGCAGCCTCAGGTCCCCCGGCCCGGCATCAGGTGGGGGCTGCGGCCTGAGGTCCCCCACCCCGGCCTGGCGCCACGCAACCTCAGGTCCCTGCTGATCGCTCATTATGGCATGTTACAGGAACCCCACACGGGCGCAGCCATCTTATGTTACAGGAACCCTGCCAGCGCTGTGGGCGCAGCCATCTTGTGACAGCATGACGGAGTGAGGGTCAATTTGCATATTACCTCTTTATTATATAGGATTATTGACTATATTCCCTATGCTGTACTTTACATCCCCATGACTATTCTATAACAGCCAATTTGTATTTCTTAATCCCTATACCTCAACAAAATCATAACTTTTCTTCTGATAATCAGAAATGTGAGGTCACAAGGCAATTAATTAAGTACAAGAGAGGAGAACCCTCCAAGAAGAGAGAAAGCATGTGAACTGTTTAACCTTGGGCAAAGCACGAAGAGAGAGGTGGCTGCCATATAAGAAAATAAGAAGAAATTGCTATAATCTTAATAAAATCTTAAAAACCAAATATGTGAACTGGAACATCGTTTTGGAACAGAAGATTCACACCCACTCACAAGCTCTTATCCATGGGCTTTCACAAGAAAGATTAGGCCAGGGCAAAAGACCAGAGGCCATCTCCTAAGTGGTAAAGGTGTCCTGGAGGTGATTGCTGTTGGGAATAGGCACAAGCCCCACTCACTTTCCCAGATACCCTATCATCAAAGCTAAAGCAGTAAGCAGCTACCAAAGAAGGGGCATATCATTGCTTTAGGGGGAAATAGAAGCCAAAGCCATCAATTTCTGGTAGAGGGGTAGGAAACTGCCTCAATCCCAGGACAAAGGCAAAGATCAATTGCTCTTAGAGAAGATAATATAACAAACACCCTCTCTTCTGGGGAAATGGTCAGGATCCTACACCACGAGTAAGCAAGGGTCTGCTACTCCAAAGGGAAAAACAGGAAACTCCTTCCCAAGAACAATCACAGAGATAAGACAGAGTTTGGGAGATGAAGAGCTAGAAATCCTCACCCAGGAAGTCAAGATGCACAGAGCTTGCCAAAGACTTATGAACCTATCATTGAGAACAAGCAACATTAGTCTAGTACTAGTGAGAGACAAGAGCACAACGTGAGATGCCCAGCTGAGGCACAGTCAGGAAAGAATGGCTGAAAGCTGAGGGTGAACAGGAATACTGAAAAAAATCCTCTGGCAATACCCTCAATAAAAGTACATGGTAACAAAAGCTCACTTCTGAAAATACTGGAAGTCTGTGGTGCACTGTAGATTATAAAAAGAAAACACAAACCAAGCTCAGCTTCTGACTAGACTGACTGACCACTGTCTCTCCATACTAATTGCATGACAACCAAGAGGCATATCTAGACATAAAATTATTTCTTAGTGCCTACTATTCCTACTATTAATGCTGCCCAGTATTAATAAAAAAATTACAAAGTACACAAATAAAAAAACTCACTCCCGAGATATAATAATAAATCCAGATTC